GGTGTCGCCTTCCCGGAGCCAAGACAGGCACACACGCTGGTGGGCAATTGATCTTTCGAGAGAAGCCAGACCCAGGTACTTGAGCTTAAGGTTCCGGCGTAGCCATGCCTCCGAAGGAGATAGGGGGTGCGAGTCCTGCGCCGCGTCGAGGCGAGCAATCAGTTCACGCACGATGAGCAGTTGAAGAGAGACGTTGCCGATGCAGCGTGCACTCCAACTTTGGAGTCGGCGGGCTGCGAGCTTGAGGCGCTGGTAGATCCTCCTAAAAGGGTCCGGATCTGGAGGCTCACAGTTCCAGGCGTGGTGCACCGTGTCCTGAAAGCCTTCAAGGTGAACCCAAAATCGCTCGAAGTGGAAACGCTTGGGGCTGCCAGGGTGCCGGGAGCAGTCAAGCAGGAGAGGGGCGTGGTCAGAAGCCGCCGAAGCAAGGCAACAAAGAAGGTAGTGCGGCTGGAAGTCCTCCCAGCTAGGAGTGCAGAGAACTCTGTCATTCCGCACGAGAGTGGGGTTGTCTTTCTCGTTAGACCAGGTGTAGTGACGACCATGAAGGTAAATGTCACGCAGTTCCATGTCAGCGACGAAACGGCGAAGACGATTCATAGAACGATGGTGCAATCGCCCATTGTTCTTGTCGGCAGAGGACAGGATCATGTTGAAGTCACCCCCCACAATCCAGGGTCCCGCACAAGTGAGATGGAAGTCATGGAGCTCGGCAAGAAAGGCCACCTTCGCATCGTCCTCCTGGGGGCCGTACACGGCCGTAATCTACCAGTGCTGCTGTCCCGGGGCGAGGGGTGTGACAAGGGCCGACACATGGTAGGCACCAACCTCCGGTCTCGAAAGCGTGATCACGGAGCGCTGCCAAGCAATGAGAATACCTCCATGCGTGCCACTAGCAGGCAGGAAAAAGAAGTCCTCAAACAAAGTCCCAAGAGTCTCGGTGACAACGGGAGCAGAGACCACCGCAAGCTTGGTCTCGCTAAGACACACAATCGAGGGGGGCGCTGAGAGAATCATGGAACAGACTGCCGTGCGCCTGGCTTTGGAGTTTAAGCCACGCACATTCCAGAAAACAACTTTGAGATTACAATCCATGGAAATGTTGGGGGGGAAGGGGGGGAGAACACCACCCTAGGAGGGAACCATGACTGGCATCACGGGCGCACGGTCAAGGAGCTCCGTGACGCCGCGGGGGATCTGCCATCCGTAGTAGTCTGCAAAGGCTTGCACCACATCTTTGGCTAACGGCCGTGCGAATAGCTGGGTGTACTTGGCTAGGGTGGAGTCATCGAGCGAACCACCTTCCTCAAGGAGCCCGAGCCTCCGCAAAAGCACTTTCTTGGCCTTCATCTCAGAATCTAGGCCACAATCTGCCTTTGCAATACGAGAGCTTCTCCTGGGGGTGAAGTTGGGGGGAATCGCGTTGCGCTTGCGCCTCGGCGCTGGCCTGGGCTAGGGCAAGACCGGATCAACAGGCCGCGCAACCGAGTCCAGGAACGCACGTAGCGCGGGTCGTTGCATGGTCTCGAGATCCGGGGCATGCACGGAGGGGCCCACTGCGGGTGAACGCAGCGGTGAAGGCGGGGTGCCCGTGGTGGAGGGGCCACGCGGCGGCTCATCTCTCACCGCGGCAGGCGACAAAGCGGCGGGCGAAGCGGGGTCAGGCTCCGCAGAGCTTGTCGGGCAAGCGGGAGAGGGCGCGGGACCGGGATGGGACGCGCGGCCAACCACGGCAAAGGCGGCATCGGATCCTGGCGGTGACGCGAGACGATCGCCTATGCATGGAGACCGTGGGCCAGAGCCACCAGATCCCGAGGCACAGGAATCTTTTCCACAGCCAATGACTGGGCTAGGAAGGGATCGTGGGGTGGGCGGGGAAGCACAGCCATGCGAACCAGCTGGCGACAGGGGAGGGGAGCCGCTCCCTCGGGGCGAGCCAACGGGCGAAAGGGGAGGAGAGCCGCCCCCACGAAGCGCCAGCTAGCGATCATGTGGGTTTGAATGCGGTCGTTGGAGTGGACCGGTCGCTGGAGAGGACATGCTGACCACAGCGGTCACCTTATCCTGCGGCAGAGCAGAGAGGCTTTGCCTTTGCAGAGGCCCCACGGGACGCAAGCGTGTCGAGACGGGGCCCGCCTGGCAGGGGGGCGACGGTGGGGTAGGGCCCAAGAACGCCCTGCCAGCCATGAAAAGGGGGCGGAGCGCGCGAACACCGGCGACCACCGGCCGGGGCTCCGGTACCGCTGGAGCTAGCACCATGACCACCGGAAGAGCGCGGTGGGAAGCTATGGCGGGAGGGCCAGGCCGGAGGGCAAGGAGGCAAGCTGTCAGGGCCGACGCCCGAGCTGGGGTCCGCCGGTGGTGGCGGCGGGGGAAGTCGGAAGTCCCCCGAGCGGCGAACATGAATGCGCACCGGCCACCGAAGGAGATGCATAGCGAAGCGCTCCGCGCCGTCGGGGTCAGCATCAGGCCAAACCGCGTCAGGCCCGGGAAGAAACAGCTCCGAGGTGCGGGGGATGGCATCAGGGTTGGGTGTCCAGGCCGAGAGGCGGAAGACAGCCATGTCGGTGCCGTTGCGGGTCTCAGGCGCGAGATGGTCGATGTAGCAGAACGGGGAAAGCAACTGCTCCGCCGTGGCCCTGTGCCAGCCATGCTCGGGGATGCCCCGGATCTCAATGTTGACACGGAGGCGAAGGGAGAGCGGTTCGGCGCCGGCGGAGCGGCCCCAAGACTGAGAGAGCAGACGAAAACGGCGGGTGCGGACGGGACGCTCCGCGACACAAGCACGAGCCACCGGGTCAACGAAGCACACCAAGAACTCACCGTCCGGCCGCAGATGAACGGAGAACTCATCGTCGGAGAGGCCGAAGCGGTCCCGGAGGGCGGCAGCGACATCGAAACGGCCGACGCCGGACCTGTTCCCAGCCACGGTCACCACCAGCGCGCGCTCCAAGGCAGCCTCGGCTACAATGATCTCAGGCGAGCGCTCCAAGAAGCAGAGCGCGCCCGCGGGTCGAAGGGATGGGTGGCCGGACATGGCGGGCGGGGAGGAGGAAGACAGCGGGGAGGACGACGGGGAGGCCGCAGGGCCAGAGGGCGAAGACCAGGCAGGGGCCGAGCCAGAAGCCATGGCCATGCCCCCTGACCCGGAGGACGCGGGTCGGCTGGGGCCCTGGACGCTGGAGGCGGAGGAGATCGCACGGCGAGGAGAGGCGGCGCAGACACGCTTG